CCCGAATCAAACAATACTGTAGCTGAAATGCCGTTCACTGAGAACGACCCTATACAAAACATATAACCATAAGAAACAATCAATAACAAATGCAGAGATAAGGGAAAATACATAGCAATCACCACATCAGGAGTCGCTCACGCCTCCTCTGCTGTCAGCTGAAAAGCACTACTCTTCGCTACCGGCGTCTCAACTCGACCCTGACGGCCATCTGTAATCCTCAAAGTAGCAGAAGCAGGTGCGGACACCTTCCCTACGACAGCTAAACTCGGACACTAGGACTTTTTATGTACCATCTAATTGCACTGGAAGCAAATCAGATCTGATGCCGCAATGGCGGTAGTAGTGGTTGTACAATCTTTGCTCATATGCCCAGTCCGACCGCACTTGTAGCATCCAGAACTCCCTGCCTTGCTCGCCCCGTCGTGCAATCTACCACACTTGCCACACCGACTGTGGCTCTGCTAACTCCTGGATCTGTGATCTGAAACCTTGGGCTTTTTTCCCAAACTCCCTGAACCTGAAGCCGCCTCTGGCTTCATTTTTCTCTCCATCTCAAGGTAAATCTCTATCTATCTCTCTCTCTCTCTCCCTCTCTCTCTCTCTCTCCCTAGCAATCATGTCATCCAGCGTTTTACAGCTGGACCGGCTCAAAAACTGGTGGATGTCACTCCGCAGCATCTCATGATAATGGGCCTTCTTCATTTCCTCATCAGCTGTGTACTGAGGAATGAGAAGCACCCTTTCCCTGAACTTGGCGGTAATCTCCGCCACTGTCTCTGTAGTCTAGGTGAGATCCTGAAACTCCCTGACTAACTCTTTCACCTCAATAACTGGTGCGAACTCAGCTTTGAACCTGACAGTAAAGTTAGCCCAGGTCATAGCACCCAAAGCTGCATCATCTCCAATGACATGTCCGACCTCCTCCCACCAATCCCGTGCCCTGTCCTTCAGAAGACAGGATGCCAATCTGACCTTGTCCCCCTTGGGACATCTACTTGTGCGGAAATCATTGGCCACACCCGCCAACCATCTAGTAATCGTTATGGGGTCCTGCGCCCCTTGATAATTTGGAGCTCCACATGCCCGGAACTCCCTGAACGTAAGCGTGCACGACCCCATCATGACCGCCACCTCAGCACAAAATGTTCCTAGTCTCTCCTCTATCAACGCTAGTATACCCTCCTTGATTGAACCAAAGATCATTGTAGTCTGCTCAAGAATGATATGAGTCACCTCTGAAGTGAAAAACTCTCTAGTCTGCTCATCTAGATGCTCAGCTCCCGAGCCTGATCCGGATCCCTCTCCGGCACCTGAACTGCCGACTGCTGGCCTAGGTCGTAAAACCACCATTCTGAAAACATATCATGGCAATCGTCAGTACACTGAAATATCTCAAGGGATCGCTGATACTACAAGCTTCCCGGTCTCATCTCAGCCTTCCTTGATTCGAGTACGGATCCTCTGCTTTCAGTAGTACGAGCCCATACTACCTTCCACATATATCCATACTTTCCTCAAGAACTGCCTCAACTCCACCAAGTCACTCTATTGCTACTGACTTCTGCTACTTACATCCTAGGCTTTCCCTAGGGAAACCATTGAATCCACCCAAATGAGTCCTCAGCTGCTGAAGGCCTCCTTGTAATGCCAATTAGCCACCACCTGAATACCATCACATGCAATGAGGCTCGGATAATCCTTCAAGTAAAATACTCATCCATACAACGGTTAGACTCAAACGAGAGCTATGCAATAGAGTCAAATCCGGCACTATGAGATTATCCAACCCTGACCACATGTGATGTGATGTATTCACCTAATGGCTAACTCCTATCACTTAGAGTCCCACTAAGCACAAAGCAAGCAACATTCGGATAAAGAAAACATACTCATGCAAACTATTCTCATAATCAAGAAATTTTACTAGCATACAATGCTAAGGTCAAGCTATCAAGCATAACGTACATAGGTTATCCTACTACTGCCTACTCACCACTAGCACACAATTCTCATCAAGCTGAAACACATAAGGCAGGCACATAAGGCATCCTCCTAGATCCTTAGTCCTATACTAGCATGTTGTTTTACTGGAAATGGAACTGATAGTATAAACTTGTATGGGTAATTTGAAAGTACTTACTTGAGCTTGGCTGATCGCACGCACCACACCTTTTTCTCTTTATCAAAACTCTTTTTCTTTCTAAGTTCTTTTTCAAAAATCTTTTTCGAAAATGTTTTTCTTTTGAAAATCTTATAGCGTTTCCTTAGTTTGAGTTCAGACACACTCGAAAGTGTATCTGAATCCCTCAAACCAAGGCTCTGATACCAACATGTCACGTCCCAAAATACGACCCCAATTTTTTTGTTTAATCGTACCTAAAATCATTAGATCAATACCATAAAATAAAAACCCATATGTCAATATCTCAAAACCATAACAAAGTATCACGAGAAAACTATATCAAGACTGTATCAATCATATCTATGAAAAACTAAATCAACTCCCAGGACAAAAATGGAAGTTATGGTGTCTTTGATGCCATCATCCCGAGCTCTTCCGTTTACTTGTGGAAGTACCTGAAAGCAAAACTGAAACTGTAAGCACGAAGCTTAGTGAGCTCCCCCAAACTACCACATACCATACAATAACATATCAACACGTATTGGGCCTTGCCCACTGCATCAGAACGAAGTCCGGAACTAACCAGGGCGTTTCCCTTTGCATTGGGCCGAAGCCTGGAAACTGCGTCGGAACAAAGTTTGGAACTAACTGGGACCTTGTCCCCTGCATCGAACCGAAGTCCGGAACTAACTACATCGGATCGAAATCTGGAACTGACTGGGACCTTCTCCCCTGCAATGGACCGAAGTCTGGAAACTGACTGAGCATAACATGACATAGTATAAACATATCAACTAGCATAAGCACATATACTGCATACTGCATCGGACCGAAGTCCGGAACACATAATAAAAAATATGCTTGAATCACAAAGACATCAAGCAATCTAACTACTACATCCGACCGAGGTCCGAAACTACTTCTGACTAAACGGGACGACATTTTGGCCGTCGACCCGTTCCTACTGGAAGGAAGACTCACCTCGTAGTCTAGCTGCTGAATGAACTGCTCTGGAATCTGTCTGTTGCTGCTCCAGTTTCACCCCGGCTAAAATTTCCATCAGTACACTCAATCAAAAATACTGATAACTATATTGAGGGTAAAATGACTGTTTTACCCCTGGTCTAAGTCGACCTCTTGGTCAAAGTCAGCATGCAGTTGACTTGACTCGTTGAGTTGGGCCTCCAACTCGTCGAGTCCCTACTCTAATTTCTCATTTATGCGTGCTACTACTCGTTGAGTCTGGCATAGACTCGACGAGTTCCTTATTGGTACTAACGCTTAGTCAATCTGCATCCAACTCGACGAGTTGTATGAACAACTCGTCGAGCTCTCCTTTAACATATGAACACTCCAACTGCGACTCACCGAGTTGTATGAACAACTCGCTGAGTCTGTTCTTGGGATATGAAGATTGCCTTGGACTCATTGAGTCAGGGCATTGACTCGCTTAGTCCCTCCATGAATGAGTTCGATCTTCGACTCACTGAGTCCACCTAAAACTCATTGGTTCCACTCGACATAATACATTGAAGGGGGAAAACTCGAGGACTCGCGACCCAACTCGCCGAGTCTGAAGACCGACTCCCCGAGTTGGTTGCATGCAACTTCTACACAATCGATTATGCTCAAAACCACTACATACAACTTATAGATCTGGGTTCTTAAAGCTTGTTTACCACGTAAAGCTTCCAACTTTATGTGTACATATGCATGAAAAGGGATTTAAAGGATCAAAAGACTCTTAAAAGAGTAGATCTAGGGCTTTCATGCAAAATGGCTCCATAAAGGTGTTAGATCTACGTTTTTGGAACTGAAACATGGCTAGATCCGAAGGCTAGTCAACCCAATGTGATCTCTCTACTATAAACAAGCTAACAAATGGATAAAATGGCCTAAATTTGCTTATAATAGAGAATCAATCATAGAAACTGAAGGAATCCGATTATTACCTCAATAAACTCTGAAATGGGTGCAAGATCTTGGATCTTCTTCTACTCCTTTGGATCTAGCCTCCTTCTTCTCTTCAAAACTTCAAGATTCACACAAGAAATGCTCAAATGCTCAAGGAATGGTTAGGGCTTGCTAAATGATGCTCTGAGGGTGAAGGAGGCGAGTTTGGGGCTCATAACATGGTATAAATAAGGTGGAAAACCCGTGGATCTAGGGTTTCTTCCAGACTGGCGGACTCGCCGAGTTGCCAACTTAAGCGTGCTCAATATCTCGACTCTACTCGGCGAGTCGGGCCTACAACTCGCCGAGTCCCAACTAAAAATGCAAAAAATACTTAGATTAAAATACATACCAGGAACTAGGTGTTACAGACATATTTCCATGTCTTAGTTTTACCCCCTTACACTTTTGATTGTACATCCTCTCCATCACGTACAACCTGATTTCCTTTGGAATTGTTATTATGGGTTTCTTCTAGGCCTTTATGATTGTTGCATATAAAGATTTAGATATACCATTTTCCACAACGTCACAAGAAATCTCAGTTTCAAAGAATACCCTACAACATGTATTCATGTCTCATTCTATTAAGTGGTTATAAGCTTCTGTGGACATTATACGAATTTCCCTCATGTATGAGCAAAAAGTGGATTCAGCTGTAGCCTTTGCGGCCCTCCAAAATAACCTCTTAAATCCAACACCCGTGAACCATTTCTTCTTAAAGTTAGCAAATATGTGTTAGGAATAATTCCTATGCTCACATGATGGTGCCCTTTCCTTAACAGCCTCGATCAAACCCCATAAGGTGATAACAAGTTTATGTTGTAAAGAACATAATAACACATAATATAGTAAGTAAAAGTAAACTAAAACACACCTTGTGTTGGTCCGAGATAATTGTAAGACTGCTACCATCTCCCATCTAAATGTCCTCAAGTAGAAGATCAACGAACCACATCCAAGTTTCCTTGTTTTCAACTAGCACAACAGCCCATGCTAGAGGGTACATTTGGTTGTTTGCATCCTTAACAACGGCTTTTAACAACTCACCTCTGCAAATATCCTTCAAAAAACAGCCATCAACACCGATAAGCCTTCTACATCCTTTAATCCAACCATCCTTGATAGACTATAAGCAAATATACATCCTTTTGAAGTAGTGTGTAGCATTAGGCATATGATTTGTCTCAATTAAGACTGTTGAACAAGGATTAACCCTCAATAACTCAGCACCATAATTCCACAGTTTCTCATAATAGCTTACCAAATTTCCTAAAATCTCAACTAGTGCAAAGTAGTTGGCATTTCCACACTGCCCAAGACATACCTTGAGACCATAGTCTTTCCTAACCACTTCTGCCATTTTCATATAGCTAAACCGAGGCCTTTTCAATATGTCATGTATTAACATTTTTACAATCCACTTATACGTAACAAGACACCCTATTTTTTGTTGTCTAGCATAATTATGTTTATGAATTAGTGACTTGATCTGGAATGACTTTTCCCTGTTCATGGGACTAGCCCATAGTCTAAAAGGGCAAGATGGCTTCCCTTTTTCATTTTTACTGCACCTTACTAACAATTTAGTTGCCTCTTTTTTTCATACCACAATGCATAACCCTTAGACACAACATAATTTGTTAACATGTGTTTCAGTTCATCTCGATCATAAAATCTCATACCTAACTCAAGCATCATAGTGTCCTATTTTTGGTTAGGATCGTGTATAGGATGTTTTTTTTACCTTATCAACAACTTCATCCTCTATTCCTATTTCTGGAATACAGTTTTTATGAGACAAAAAAGGATCAACAAGTTCATGCCACTGAATGTCAACATCATCACCTTCATGGTCTAGTGATAGATCATTCGACAATACCAAGTCCATATCATCTTCATATGTATCAGTACTAATGTCCCCTTCTTCAGCTTTCTCTTCTTCAGTCCAATCTAGTAACGGTTCAAGATAGTCATCAATGTAGATATTGATTTGATTATTATCATCATCATCAAACCCACCATCAAGGAACCTAACATAATCATTTTCATCCCTAAACTCGCTTACCCATCTATGAGGGATGGATTTTTAAGACAGTAATATATATCCCGACATCTATTGTTGATCAATTTTTGGAGGTGTGTCTTGAACTCCTTGAAATCCATGTTACATACATCTAGCCCTGTAACAGGTAGTTTATGAGGATGGAAGTAAACAAAGGGATTAGGAGCAAAAACACCTTTGTGGTAGACATCAATGTTGAGGGAGTCACCAGACATGCTTGTTGCACAATCGATGAACTCTACTTCACATTCTGTATAAATCAAATTTACATTCACCTTCTGTAGATTTCACGTTGTGTAACAACCCTAGATATCGATTTCACTCTTCACTGAGAACCCTAAATGGTGAAACAATTTCCCTTGTGGCATTTATATTTCCACGTAATTTGTTTTAATAAGCCATGTCATATTTGATGGGTTTTAGCCATAAGAACATCATATGTGCTCATACAAACCCTAATGCTTGGATCTAGGTTTCTATATTGTACATGCAATTTATCCAAGACTATAAACCCTAGATATAACATATGATAATCAATACAACATATAATTACGGTTTAGGTCATACCTCAATTGTTATGTAGCAATAACAGTCTCAAATCCTCCTTGTAATGACTTTAGAAAGCTTAGAGTCACAAATGTCACTCCTCTAATGGTTCACAAACACCAAGAGCAAGAGTATGAAGAAGAGAATAGAAGGAGGCTCTCAAAAACGTGTGGAAACCCTAGATAACTAGTTCACCTCGTTTTTGGAGCATAAAGGTTCTATATATAGTGAGGCTATTAGGGTTATCTATCAAGGAAACCCTAATTTGGATGCTTAAGCCCTAAGCAACCCATGGACTCCTTTCCTTAAAGGCCTTGGACGATTTCCAATGGGTTTCCCCATAGAATTCGTCCAACCTTATAATATAAGGTAATCCATAGCCCAATTGCAATTATCTTATAATTACAATTCCATTACCTTAAGTTTAATTAATCTCTTTTAGTCACAAACTTAATTCTTATTAATTCTTGACTGATATTAATTAAACAATATGATTTCTCCTTTAATATATTATTCCCATAATATATTAATAAATCATATTTAATCATTTCTCTCCATAATTCATCCTATCAACTTGCTTTGGTGAAGGCAACCCAAAAGGACCATGCACCATCGGGTCAAGTAGATACCAAAATAGTTATGGACTTAGACACTAATCCAACAGTCTCCCACTTGGATAAGTCTATAACTATTCTGCGTATGACTTCAGATCCTGATCTGCAATCGTAGCTTTCCAAAGCCGCTGTCAACTCTGATCCTATCAGATACGCGTGTCCTTTAGATAAGGGATCATATATTCCTCCATTCTAGATATCGTATAAGACATGATTTCTAATCATTATCCCTGTACCATTTCTCGACTTCCGAGTTATGACGACTGACTAATTGAACATATCAAATTAGCCCTAGCCCGGCCGAGCATTTACGTTTGTCATCACTAAATCATCGAGGGGCCTAAAGATATCGCTTTTATCCTTCTTTGGATAAAAGGAACGAATAAACTTTGATTCAATGCTCGCTTGCACTCACTCACCGAATCACACACAACAATATGTTTTAAGACACCAAGTTACTGGCGCGTTTACATATTATCAATGTGCAACTGATTTGCAAGATACAACTCACACATCTCGGTTTCAAGAATATAAGATGTTATCGTCTCACCAATCACTCGTGATACAATTCATGGAGTGATCCAAGTGAGCGTGGGTTTAATCTAATGCTCAAATCATATTCATAAGCACTCATGAACGTTGCAGCAAACATTTGCTTATGTCTAATACTCTTTAGACAATCCACACACCAATTCATGACAGTCTTTATTCATACCTACTTCCAACATATGAACGACTGTGTCCCGTTCGAATAATTTTACTGTTCTAAACCAGTTAAATTATTCAGGAAGTCAAAAACATGCAAAGTGAAACACAAGATTAATACTAATCCCATATGGCCTCAAACCTTTGAGCATAAATAAAACACCCTTTTATTTATCACCATATCGATTACTCATTATTTGTTGTTTCGGGTAATCAACTTCTTACTTGAATTATTACACTTGTCCCATGCTCTTATCATGCACACAATGTCTACCTATGGTTCTTACTTTGTGAAATAGATCAAATGAACACATTTCCAATCATACTCATTCCACAACTCCCAATCCTTATCACAAGTGTAAGAATATCAAATTCTTGCCACTTATAGAATATGTTAGATTCTAACATTTTATGCAATGATCCTTTCGTAATGTCACTGCACTAAAGTCACAATGACTATTGCCAATGAAATTACAAAGTCCTCTATCGAAGATTGTTACAAGACAATTCCATAGATGTGATGTCTCTCACTCAAAGTACATTTCTTTGAACATCCTTTTGCATAAAGTTTCTAATCTAGACATAGATTCTCAATATCTAACTCCCAATATGGAAACCTTTTCATACTTACCATATGACAACTCATTCTCAATAGAATCTTATCTGTTCATAATAAAGTCGGTATACTCCTTCCAATACTATACTTCCAAATACTCACAAGTGACCAATCCTCGACGAACTTTGGATTGCCCTTTGATAGTTGTTTACTTATCTTAGTCAAAACCGATTCTTGTCCTTTTTCCCTCTAAATGCGCTAGACATTTGAAAATTTTAGAATGGTCAAATATTATAGCATTTGCAATCGATCCCATACCCGAAGCGTATTGGACACGATGCATAATGTCTCACATGAAGATTTAATACTTTATTAATCTTCTACCATAATATTCTATGTGCTACGTTCTCAACATTCAAGCTATGAAGGGGAATGCCGTAATCACAATCGAAATTTGAGAACACACTATGTATACTTGACTAGATTATTAACATTCCACAACCTAAGCCTTTAGATTTGAAATGAAGCATAATATTCTCTCCCTTAATTATAGCAAAACAACTATTTAACCCTTACAACTTTGCAAAGTATGACTCTTATTTTCTATAATTAATATTGCTAACATGCAATACTTGCCTTAATAATCATACAATCATAACATTTATACTCCCACTATCATGATGATTATTATAAACATAACACTTATGCTCCCACTAGCTTTGACATGTATTCAGAAAACAACTTAACTTCCAGAAAAACAATACTTATTGAATTTATTAAGTTCATGTTTCTAATACCTTATGCTATGATAATCCTTTATCAAGGCTTCTCAAATTTATACACCTTTGCTTTAGATAACTCATATGTGTGTCTAAACAATTAATACTAATTGCCAAATCTCACAATTCGAATCATGGAAAGGGATACCGTAGCCATAATCGAATTCGAGAATACTATTTTACAATCACTATCTTCTTAAAATCTCTATTAGTGAAAGCATTTCCTCACAGTCATTTTCATGAAGGAGGGAATCTTATGACACTTAGCTTTTAATGGTGTATGTGTTCCTATCCATGTGAATTTGTCAAAAACAAAGTTTACGACCAATTCAAACTCATATGGACCGAACTTTCTTAATCTTGTTTTCTTGCCTTATTTTAACACGGCTGCCCACCATGTCTTCCAAGCAGTTAAGCAGCTCACCCTTTCCTATCAATGTACTTTTCATTGATTAAGGTCCTTGCCTTTTATGCATTCAAATGAGAACTCATAGAACTCACATGATAATTAACTCAATTGGAATGGCACAGAAACAAAATAACGTCAACACAATAGATTATAAACCTCAAGTCGTGTGCTAGTGATGTTAGATAAGGTTTATTTTTATTTGTTCTTGAAACCTTTCAAGACAATTAAGACTCCCACTGACTCTTCGACATATAATATTCTCTTGTCAATAAACATTTCTTGACAAATATTCAAGAGTTAGTGTAGTTTTTATCAAAACACTTCATAAATAGGTCCTAGTTGGTCTTTGTCTTATCTAAGACATCACAACTTTCCTCATTTAATGAATGTTATAAACCTTCTTATTACTCAATGTCACAATCTTAACTCTAAGACTAGTTTTTGGAATGAAGTAGGATTGACTTCTTGATTTAACCATTTCTTCAATTCTTGATTCCTCTTCTTAGACATACAATTGTACTAAGACTTACTTAGAGGATCAATTGAGATATGGTTCTTATTCATTAAGGCCTATCATAAAACATAATAAAAGGTACTCTCCCTTCTTCTTAGAATAGAGAAACCTTTATCTTTCTGCCTACTTGATTCTTCTTATTCGTTCTACTTATTGATTAAAACTTTTACAATCAATTCGGAATTACACTTAATCTAATAAGTGTAATCATATTTGCTAAACTTTTAGTAAATCACGACGAATATCTTTTTTACTCTTGTGGTGGACTTGATCAACACATAACCTTGTGTACTCGATCTCCTAGTCCTTCATTTGACACTTTGTCAACGAATTAGTCTAATTTCCAAATGTGAAAGTTTATTCATTCATCATACAATTCTTGTTGTACGGTTCCAAATCTCTATCCAATAGAAACTTGGGTGATGAGAAACTTTCCCTATTTGGTAAATCCTCGACATTTCCACAAACAACATAATTAAGAATCACATCCATTTGTTGTAAATATACGAACATCAATTTTTCATAACGATTTCATTGCAAGGAAATAAATAAATAAACACATCAAACAAAATTTATTTTATTCATAAAAGCAGCGGAAAACATTTTTCCTTACAATGCAAAATCAACTGAAAAACTATGTAATAAATATTCCTAACAACTCTATCTAAGCTCAAAATCTAATCTTTGAATCCATATCTTCGTGATTAGATTCATCTTGCTATTTCATCAGGCTTCCTCTCTTTTCATCGATCCTGCAAAACATTCGAATGCAATCTTATCACATTATGTATTAAGAATCAACGAATAGAAACTTAATCGACTTAGATAGTGGATTTTACCTGAAGTACATCCATACTCTTTGACTCTCCCATCTTCTGGACTCTTCAGGCTCTTAGGGCAGACTTGCATCCAACGCCCTTTCTCTTTGTAGCAAACGCAGGTTGGTTCTCCTAGAACGTCCTCGGAAGCATGGTTGGTTGACTTTCCCAACAAATATGCTCCATTGCTTTACCAAACCATTTCTGATTCAGCAGCAATGAGCATGTAAGTTAGGTCAATGAGGTTTGCGTCATGATCCATCATATAATACTT